TATTTAAGATTTTATTGAAAAAACATATCCTGTGATGTCTTTCTTCTTATCCTTTTTACCTTGTCACGTGGAACTTGTAAAAATGTTCCATCATTTCAATTGTGCATATATTGACAAAAACATTGATGATATATGTCCACGTGGCGACAGGTCAGCCAAAACTATCTCTTTACGTATGTATATCAAATCATATATAAAGTTGCATGCATAGCCATGAATGAATGAGATTAATTTAAAGAAAAACTAATGAAATGTGTTTGAAAACTTTAAGTTTTAACGTTAAAGATAAAATGAAAGATAAAATGAATAGTACCAGGATTAACTTTTTAGTGTAAAAATATGATTTTTTGTTAAAATGAATAGTACATAGAGCTTTTCGTTAAAGTTCTCCTAATTTAATTAGGGTAATACTAAAAAGACCAACTATAAGAAATTAAATAAATCATGCGAGGTAATCTTTGATGATTGAATTATTATTTAAGTATAATTAAAGTGTTTATTTTTTATTGATGATACATCATATGTTTACAAATTTTGTCTAAAAAATTAGTCTACATAGTCATTTAATTAACTTTCAAAAGTTTAGACCACTTGTCATCCTATGCTTAATCTGATCTAAAAAATGCATACATCATCTCGAATATAATGTGAAGCATTTGATTAAGAAACGTGATGGTTCACGAAAAGCAGACCTAATTACACCCTAGCTAAATCTAGAGAAAATGACCACAAGAGGCATGACTAATGCTCTCTCGTGAATTTGGTGAGTTATGATTGTGAATTTGGAAACTAAGTTCATGATAACATCGACATAAAGCAATCCAGTCTTTTTGTCCCAATCATAGTTAAAAAAAAATATGCAACGGATATAATACGTAAAAATTACGTATGTATATTATTTGACAATTTTGCAAAAAAATCAAAAAATCAAAAAATCAAAAAATGTGGCCATATTTATAAATTTTATTTATTTATTTATTCTTATTTCTTCTTTAAAGTATTTGCTATATTAAAAAGTGTATCAAAGTAACATGTATTAACTCTAAAAAATATGTATGTACGTGTATCATACTTTGGAGTTATAAAAATGTCCAAATTAACAAATCAATCAAACGTGTACAAATCTAGCGTTTTCTCTTGTTTTTTCATCCTTTTACTTTGGTTTTTAGTCGTAATTTTGCACCCCCACAACAAAATCAAACACAACAATATGAAGGGATGTACTATCCACACACTCCTTTTTACTTCTCCCACATCTCTTGTTAATTTCTGTCATTTGATTTTTTTTAAATCATCCGATCCGACGGTAAAAAATTAAAAGGGCGTGAGAGAAATAAAAAAAAGGTATGTGGATATCACACCCCTAAAAACAATTATAACTATGTATCGAACTCATCACAAATTAATTAATATAGCATCTTATTCACTATTTTCTCGTCAAATTAATTTAGACTCACATCAGTCAAACATGATAGCTCATCCAACCAAGTGTAGACAGCAACCCCTAGAACATTGGCTAATTTTTCTTTTCCTTTTATTTTTTTGCCTATTTTATTCTTTATTCTTTTCCTTTTTTTTCATAATTAAGATGTATTTTATTCTTTATTCTTTTCCTTTTTTTTATTCATAATTAAGATGTATTTTATTCTTTATTCTTTTCAATTTTTATATTCATAATTAAGATGAAATTCAGTTTTAAGATTTATAAAAAGGAAATTTTAACGAAAAGCACCCGGAACTGTTTAATTTAACGAAAAACCACATTTTTATACTAAAAAGTCAATCATGGTACTATTCACTTTACCCTTTATTTTGTCCTTATAATTAAAACTCAAAGTTTTCAAGTTTTTTTCATTAGTTATCCTTTATAAAAATGGTTAGGAGGGTACGTATGGTGAGCAAATTTTGAGGTGTGAACAGATTATCCCTAATGTTTTGAGTATGGATGTGTGCAATGAATAACTTAAGGCATTTTAGCTAAAATGGTCCGTGAAATTAGCATAACACCTCATTTTGGTTATTGAGATTTGAAATCGATAGAAGTGGCATCTGAGTTTGTCCACAGTCAATCATTTTTATCATTATGTGGAAAATCTTTATTAAATAAAAACCAAAATGACAAAAGTACCTCAATATAATAAATAATGGTTCAAAATGATTTAACAAAAATTGAGAGTATTTTTGTCATTTTGATCCTTATTTAACAAATATTTTTCATGGCAGTACCAAATGAGTTCTATCGATTTTAAATCTTAGGGATCAAAATGAAAAGTTATGTTAATTTCAAAGAACATTTTGACTAAAATCCTAAACTTAATCACTCGTTCGATGAATACTGATCCTACATATATGATAACTTATTGTTATTTTGTGAACTTTTGATCCATACCTCTCCTTTTAAGACAAACAGAATAGAAAAAGAAAAAAAAAGGTTTATAGCAAAGTTGCAAAGGTGGCTCAAAGTGGGGGAATGTAATGCACAGTTTTTCAAATATTTGATAGGAAAAATCCAAAGCGAGTTTCAATAATTTCAACCTCATGTGTTCAACATTGGATGACCGGAGTGGCTTCCGAGGAAAAAGGTGTACCATCTCGATCACCAAAAGATTCAAAGTTTATATTGAATGGCATTGCAATTTGCAAACAAGCAAAAGCTAGTTTGATCATTTAGGAGAAGACAGCAAATAGCTGGCCGAAACAGTAAAGGCAACTTGTATAGTTGTATGCATGCTAGTTATTTTAGGGTTGGCTGCTTTCACTTTCAGCCGATCCTCGAGGACCGGAGCCTAAGCTGGATATGACGATGACCACTCTCGCTTTCTGCATGATGAAACGTACGAGGAACCCTAGTTTTTTTCCATGGCTAGTGAGATTTACAACCCTTGTTTTTAGCCTCTCGCTTACTCAGGTGAGCGCAGAAAAAATATAAGCTCTTGATTTAATTAGACTGCAGATGATTAAAAATGGAGTGTGAAGAGCGTTATCCTTTTTCATTTCTCCCTTTCTTTTCTTTTGCCATTTTACAGAAGTACTCAAATCAAAAGTACTGATTAAGTTATTTGATTTGTAACGTGATGTTTCTGTTTGTCTTTATGCGTGAAAACGCCACATCCTTATTCTAAAAGGCTTAACTTAGTGAATAGGTATTGAGTTTTTAATCATTCATCCCAAGTTCGAAACATTCTTTTTTTCCCTAAATTATTGTAATAGTTTCAAACTCCTCATGTTAACAATAGTAAAATTAAAAAAAAAAAAAAAAGGCTTAACCTGACTTTTCCAAAGAAGATATATAGTTAGTTTCAGAAAGCTTGACAGAGGCTAGAGTAGAGATACACGGGATTGAAAAGATAGGAGATGAAGTTGCGGAAGCCATGGTAAAAAAAAGGATCAGAGGCTCAATACCATGTAAAGTTGGGTGCGTTTTTGCTTAGCACTGTAGGTGTAAGTTCACCTTACACTTAAATGTTAATTTTTTCAGTTTAAAAAAAAAAATTAACCAAGATTAAGTGAAATGACACGTAACAAATGATTAGGTGTATGGTGAGTATACACCACAGTTTATCATGGTGAGCAAATATGCTCCTTGTCATTTTTTTTATTCTTATTAATTGTATAATTACAACGTTAATATACAACTAGGGATCAAGAGTCCTAATCATAAAGATAAAGATTACATTAGAATTCGTCCATTTCAATTATCATGAGTTGCTAAGTGAATTGATGGATTCATTTTGACTCTTATTATATATCTTATGAATCGCGTGTTTACCATCTATTCAAAATACAACAAATAATAAAGAGAGTAATGACTGACTAACAACCTTTTCAACACTATAGACTACATAGTATAGTGGCTGCCTACTAATTAACAAAGATGTTTTGTCATGGTTTTATATTTAATGGTCCCCTCTCAGGCTCTTCCTATTCTTTTTCCCACGCGTTAATTTGTTTCAATTTCAAAGTTTTAAATTATTAACGAAAGCAAATAATGACAGCTTGCTCTTTGCTCTTCAGGGACTTGGTGGTATATATCATATAGGAACGACATATACTCCAAATTTCTGTGGTTTGAAGCCGACGAATTGTGAGATTCAGATTTTTCACGAAAAAGAGAGATTCGGTCCGTTTAAGTTTTTTATTTTTTATGAAGTGAGTAGGATTGACTAATAGAAGTTGTATGATTGAAACTGAATGATCCAAACCTCTCAATCGGACAGCTCCAAACACATAGATCCGTAGTAGATCTTAATCCTGTCATATATGGTTGGTAAATGAAAGTGGAAGTCGGTGAGAAATCAAAGACAGTCCCTCTACACAAAAATTAATATTAAATCGAGTCGGGCCATGATTATTATTTGTATAATTAAGCAGTTTTATTCTCTTTTCTTTGGGCCAACTTATCTTTTGTGTGTGTCTATACTGATGTGATCGGTTAAAGGAAAGTAGAAGTCAACATGTAACCAAGAATTAATAGATCGCTTAATTTATGCAAGCTCAAATCTAGTTGGAATTAACATCCATCAATTTGGAGTAGAAAGATGGAATTGGACCTTGATTTAGATTTCTTATATATATGGATTTCAAATTTTAATACTAATAATATTATTACTTCAATTTACATTAGAGGAAGGGGAGAGACCTAGGAAGAATTAAAAAGAGATTTTAAGAAAAAAAGATGAAGTACTTGGAACTAACGGAAAATTCGGCGCAAAATACAAATAAATTGAGATTTCCTTGAAATCCAGTGATCTTAATTTATCTTGCAAGCCAAAGGTATCCCATCTTAACTTGAAAATGCAAGTAAAAATGTGAATTTACATCCCCTTTACAACTTTAGGAGGTGAGCCGCTGCTGCTGCGTCATAACCACATATTAAACTAGGCCGAGCAACTCCACCACGAAATACAGCCCAACCCAACTCCCTATTGGACCCAAATAACTTTTAAGGCCCATCAACCAGCAAGCAGCCTTCTTTTTCTCTGCATTTTCTGCGGAGGAGGAGGACGACCTGAGAGTATGAGACACGCAGCAGCAGCAGCAGCTATCTCTGCTTCTCAAATTTTGGGTTTTCCAATCGTCCTCCTGATTCAAAACCCATTTCCTCAATTTCCCCGAATTTCGAATGGTAATTGATATGTATTAAATTAGCGAAAAAAGAAATAAAATAGAAAAAGAAGAGAAATTAACGAAAAAATAACACAGACGAACAGAAAAAAAGGAGGGAAAAGGAAACAATTGCACCCGGTTTCGAACTCGGAATGTGGAGGACGTGGGAAGCAACAGAGCAGAGACCGCGCGTGATGCATGTGGTTGGTGACTATAAATAAATACCTTCGTTCAGCCTCAGCCCTTCATTTCAGAAACCCTAGCGCCGACGCACAAACCCTCTCAGCCTTCATTTCCTCATGCACAGAGCATTTCTGCCTTCATCCCTATCCTCCTCATCTCAGATCCGAGACCGATGCGTCCTTCAGTCTTCTTTCAGCTCTCGAATCACAGATTCCATCAAGTTTATCCAACTCCGAGTTCTGCATGTCACATCGCCGTGCATGTTTGTATGGATCTGTGAATAATATCTGGATGTTGCAACCATGTGTTCCTGCATCCATTGGTTGAGTTTTCTTCCTGTATGCTTAGAATTTTTTTTTTTGTTCTGCGTTGCCTTGCATGTATCATGGATGAATGTGATCCCCTCTGCTGCGTTGACTTCTCCCCAAGCCTGTATGCAATTTAATCTCCTAATGAAATGTGAGAATGAGTGAAAGGGGTTCCAAGCAGTTCGGAGGACGTCTTAGCAACCCCACTGTGAGTATCTCTGAACTTATCCCCTTTAGTCTCTGCACTCCATTATTTCCTCTGCACTTTCTGTTGATGTTGAATGCAAACCTGTGATGTATGATGAGGAATGAGGTGAATGAACGAATGCTCCTTAATGTATGATTCAGTCGAATGTATGCACTTCTGGATATTTAGAGGCGAGTTGAATCCGAATGCAAACTTGAAAAAAATAAATAAAATTCACATCACACCAAGTTAACACGGATTACAGAAAGTGTAGTAAAATAAATTGAACAAAAAGTGCTATGTTTTGTGTCGCGTAAAATAAGAATACAAATTGCAAAGGCCTATGCCAATTTCTCGTTCAATGTCGCGTAGATAACCCTAATGCCCGGTTGAAGCTTATATACAAGCTTTTATTCTTAATCCTACCTAAATAAGATCTTTTAAAAACTAGGAAACAAAATAATAAAAGGATCACTTAAAATCACAATCCTAAATCTAACTTGGCAATCTGCCCAGTCAGTAACTCCTCACGTTTCTAGACCATTCCAGCTCCAAATCAGGTTCAAAAGGTCGTGTTTTAAAGATTAGGACGTCCTCTTCAACTTTGTAGAATTGCCCAAATCCTGAAAACATCATCTTCATGCCCAGAAGTCACAATTAAGCATGAAATTGGCGTTTTCTGGAGTTGAGTTCATCTACAATGTTTAAGAGGACGGCCTAAGCTTTAAATCAAGTCCTTTTGGACCTGATTTGGTGTTGAATTGGTCTTGAAACGTGTACTGTCTTTAATTAATATGGCAGATTTTTCATGTTTGATTAGGAATTTATTTCTTAAGTTATCTTAATTTATTTGGTTTCCTAGTTTTATTCCAAGACCTTTTCTAGGAAGATTTTATTGTTTTAGAATAAATAGCCCCGGTCGGGCCTTAGGGGTTTTTTCTACAAAACTTTGAGAGAGAACTTGGCCAGAGCTTTTGCAATTTGTAGACTTTGATACAAGGTGTTTTCAATAATTTTCTTTTCAATAATATTTATTTTTTATTTTAATTAGGGGTATGCATAACTAATTCCTTTTATTAGGATGAGGACACGAGTCTTGGTATGAATTGGCGAGTTTGCCTCAAGGTTGGCCACTGGGGCTGCGACTTCCCCTACCACCGTCGTGTCCCAAATGGTGTAACTGAGGTTGGCAAGGGGTATGTAATAGCTTATTTGTGTTGTCCTGCGGTGCATAACAAGTGCAAGCATAATATCCAGCGCGGTTTCGCGTGAAATGTTATATTTGTATAGTGTTTGATCACGACGTCACTGTTGACTGCCCGGAGATGAAAACACTAATGAAAGAGAACTCAGGGAAAGAGGGGTTGACCTTGTATGTCTAATGATATCATCCTGCTGAAGCTGAGGATTGGGAATGTATCATGTATGAATGCTGCAACAGTTGTATTGTCTGGGACGTCATTGCATGGCAGTTGCTTAATTTTCACTGTACTTTCTTTAGTTTGAGCACTCTGCGTCATTGCATAGCAGCAGAACTCCACTCGAAGTTCTTACCGTTGCTAAACCCGTCACTTGAGGGCATGTGGTACAAGATCATTATGTATGTTATGTTGCACAGACACGGGCACGGATACAGCGAGACACGACACGGTGTATCTCAACAAAAAAAAACAAGGACACAGAGACTGCAAATATTAAATATATTAAAAACAGTACTTTGAGTTCATAATATAACAAAGTATTTGTTCTAGATGTTAGACGCTGCGCATTCCCAATTTCATTTGTATATGGAAAGACAAACCTAAGAATCAAATTCAAACTTCGACAACTTGGAATGGATGCCGTATCTCATCTCTGCATCTTAGGTTTGATAAAACTAACGACCTACGAGTGTGTTTGTTTTGATGCCTAAAATATAATTTATACGTAATTTCTATATTGTGGAATTATAAATGACGTTTTTTAAATCTCATGAACATGTAATTTTCGTTGCTGAATATCCTTGATAAACAAAGAGTGTGCCAGATTTCTTTGAAATCCAGTGATCTTTATTTATCTTGCAAGCCAAGGCATCCCATCTTAACTAGAAAATGCAAATAAAAATGTGAATTTGCATCCTTTTACATCTTTGGAGGTGAGCCGCATTAATTGAACAGAAAAACTAAATAAAATACCAAATTTACATCTCTTACATTAGAGAAAAAATAAATAAAATACCACATTTACATATCTTACATTGGAGTAAAAATGACGTAATCGGTAATCCTGACGCATTTAAGCGTCGGGAACAGCTCGTCATAACCACATATTAAACTAGGCCGAGCAACTCTACCACGAAATACAACCCAACCCAACTCACAATTGGACCCAAATAGCTTTTAAGGCCCATCAACAAAAAGCATTGGACCCAAATAGCTTCTAAGGCCCATCAACCAAAAAGCTGCCTTCTTCTTCTCTCATCTCTTCGAAGGAGGAGCAGAACCTGAGACACGCAGCAGCAACAGCGGCTATCTCTGCTTCTTAATTTTGGGGTTTCCTTCTCTTATGACAATCGTCTTCCAGATTCAAAACCCATTTCCTCAATTCCCCAAATTTCGTGTCGATATCGGAAAATTTTAGTTTCCACCGGTTGCTGTGGACTTTGATTCAGTCGGGAGTCAAAGATGCATCCTCCATTAACGTTACACAAGCACCCCATGTGTGCTCAAGTGAGTTCTCCTTCCCCTTTGCTTTATTCTTGTATTTCTTATATATATGATAAAAAATTGCACATCACTTCAATGGAACTTTGAATTTGGAATAATTCTTTTTTTGTTTGTCAAATGGTAACTGATATTTATTAAATTAATCGAATGCGAATCGATACATTGACATCTTCAGCTAGGACATTGATTTCGGAAATGGATCATCTCTATTTGTGTGTACTGTTTCAAAGTCTCATATTATGAACTCTTGAAAGTGCTTTTAAATGACTGAAATCACTTTTGATGAATGTGCACATAGTGCTTCTTGCAAGAAGCACTACAAGTTTAGAACCCAAAAATAATTTCATTAAAAACGCTTTCAGTCATTTGAAAATAATTTCTAAGCGAGCCTATACTGGACTAAATGGGAAACTTACCCTGTACTAGTTGCCTGTGCCAATAGTGTCGATAGAAAAAAAAGCAGGAAAGTCGATAAACATAGATTTCGGCTCAAATGCTAGTCGAACTCATTGGAGGCTTGCCAGAGTGTAACTGTTTAACCCATCTAATGTGTAGTTTTGAATGGGGAAAAGTGAAGTTATAGACACGAGTTGTGTGACCAAAATCATTCATCATACAAACTCATATGGAGTTACATACGCAACCAAATAGACGAGTTATGTATCAGGATTTTTGCAGTAATAGCTGGATACAGTTTGAAGTTCTAACTTATATGAGGTTGAAGGAAGATGATTTTGATCAAACAACCGCTCTCATAAATCTGCAGCAGAGAAGTCATAAAAGTTGTCATCTTGGCATGTTGCTCTGCCATGAAGAATACTCTTAAGACTCTTGTTTTGCGAAAAATCTACAATAGTCTAGAGCATTGAATAATCCGCCACTTAGAGCCCTTAGATCCAGTCCAAGGGCTGTCAAAGAAAATTGGATCTCGTTAGATTGGATTGAAGGCCTCTAAGTGGCGGAGTGTTCAATACTTCTGAGTATTGTAGCCATGCCCCTTCTTTTGTTGTTTTGATGTTTTAGATGGTTTCTGGTGTTGGAAGTTTCAGTTGTGGCGATTCAAATTGTGAAATTAAGCAAGTTCATATATACGTATATATATCTCTCTGTGTGTGTGTGTGATTTTATTTCTGTATCTTCGGGTTGCAGATCATCGAGGAGTTTCAGAAGTGTCATGTCGATCATCCTATTGCAAAATTCTTCGGTGAATGTACAGATCTCAAAATACAGCTTGACCGTTGTTTCCGACAGGAAGTAAGTCTTAGTTATCCAAGTCTTTATTTCAAAAGTTAAAAATAATAGTAATTATTGTAGAATCTTGTTAATTATTTTGGGGTAATAGTTTGGAACTACTGCAACAGAAAGCTGTGAAGAGGAAGGCAAACTTTGAACAGAGTAAAAAACTCCGGGAAAGGCTACAAACTTTGAGGAAGGAAACTGCCGAGATAAGCACTGAGAGTTCCGTGCAAGCTTAATGGCAAACCGAGGCATTCTTTTAGCGATGAAAAAGGGACTAGTCTCTGAAGTATTTCATATAGATAGATATACTGCAGTGTGTTGCTACCACAGGTTAGTGACGTGATGTGATACACCTCAATGTTGTGTTGCTGCTGATGCTGTCCTTTATTTTCTTTCATTTTGTCGAACTTGTGTTCGAACGGTCTCCTTTGTTTGAGAGAAACAGATATGTAAACGGATGTTCCAAATCAGTTTACAAGTTTGAGGAAATATTATTTGTCAACGAGGATGTTCCGAAATAATTTCAAAGAGCAGCTTCTGTAGATTTCATTTTCCTCCTATTGAGATGTGGATGCTAAAACTATAACTAGAAGTAATCTACGTACCTGAAAACTTTGGCAAATGGCATCACCATGAAAGACTGCCTCGTCTTTGCTTGAATTTCAATCCACGACCGCCACTAGAGTCGTTTCACTGGTTTAGCAAGGACATTTAAAGGGGCAATTCGCTCGTATATGAGCCATTTTGGTGATACGAGCGAACTGCCCCTGGAGTCATACAAATGCCACAATGCAGAACCTTGGTCGTCTTCAAATGAAGGTGCCGAACTTCAACATTTGGTTAAGGACATAAGGACGAGCAGGGTACAGGCAGGTTAACGCAAGCGAAAGCAATGAAAATTAAAATTAAAACGAGAATAACAATAATCAGGAATCACTCCAGTGGCTTCACATTAAGATAATCCTTTTGCCGGAAAACATTCTCAAAACGTTAATCCATCAACTTCCCTTAACTATTTAGTTACTTACATAGGAAATGAAAGGCTAAAACACCATCGGACCTAGTGTGCATCACTCCTGTCTCCGTCACCACATCTCCATCATCATCACCCAATTCAATCAACCCGGCTTTGGATGTGCCTTGATTTTTCAATTTTTGCTTAATTTGCTGGATTTGAGAACGACGATCTCAAGGATTCCATCATGCTGGAAATGAGGAGAAAACAGACGGGGGTCAACAGGTCCAGGAAGCCTGAAAGAAAGGGTAAATGGTCCAGGCGAGGATAGTTGCTGGGCTCTCATATGGTACACAGTTGATGAGTTTTTCAAGAGCTCAACACCGTTCATGACTCCTTGTATATGAACCTTTCCGTCACGTTGGATAACACATTTTACGTTACCTGCACTAAAGATGAACCACAATTCCTATCAACTACCTCCTACTTCCTACTCGATCACTGAAATTTGCAGTCTTGGACTACATCAAGCTAAAGCATACAAACCAACAACAACGGAATCGCGAATCGAGAATTGAGAGTTGAAAATGAACACGCATTTGACATTACCTCGATTCGTTTGAAGGCCAGCAAGTGCAACTCGAACAAGGTAGGCATCTTTGCTCTCGCCAATGTCAACAAGACCGCCATTACCTTCCTTTGCATTTGCTGTTCCAGTCAAAACGACACCCGAATCCTCCGAATGTGGACGACGATTCCCAACATTTTCTGCTCCCATCTTAACCACTGACACACACTCACACCAGATTTCATTCAAACATTGAATTTAGCTTCACATGAAATTATGCGATATTTAGGGTTTAGGGTTTAATGCACAGTTGAAAACAAAACCAAACAATCAAAATTGTACCAAGTGTAATCTGACATGAACGCATATCAAGATTGGGTGCTCAAAATCCGCGAGGGAAAAGTTGGGTGTGCAAACCCGATTCATAAAAAAACAACGACAGATGATGATAGCGAATTTCTTACCTGCGCCGTCGCTGAAATGGATGGGTTTCTGGACAATGTAACACCGCAGAAATCAAACAAGAGGAAGAGAGGAATCCAACCAACAAACGCTGTGTCGATTGGTGGTCAGAAGTGGGAGATACGGTCGGGTTCGTCGTGGCGCGCCAAATGAATCCGGATCCTAGGGTTTTAGACCCAGACTTTGCAAAATGATACGAGTTTGAATACAGGCCGGGTCTTGATTTGGTTAAAATGGGCTTAAGACACAATTCTATGGGGGTGTGGGTGCATGTCATGCATGCTACTAAATTGAATTAATTTGTTTGTTTGAAGTTAAAAAATATTCATTTTTAATATTTGATATTTTCTTAGTAGAACAATAGCGTTTTTAGTGAACTAAATAGTTAGTTGTTAGGAAGAACTCAAAGAGGAAATGAGACCGAACCCACACTATGGTGCATAAGCATGATTGTTTCATGCATCTGTGGTAAAATGCCACCTGCGCATAGTTCTTGTTTTTAAAGGTTACGGAAGAGGAATTTTTAGAAATTTTTTTTTTGGTTGACCTTAGTTGATGAGAAAAATTATCTGTATTGACACATTTTATTTATAGCTTGAAGAAAAATTTATTTCGAGTTTTTAACAAGCCTAAGCTAATTTAAGTGTCATACAAACATTATATTTTCTATATTTTAGTTTTTTTCAAGGCTTTTTTTTAGTGTGCTTTCTACTAAATCTTGCGGTAAATAACGAATTACGATGCCTCCTTAAAACTAAAAACTAAAGGTTTCGAGTTCGAAACTCGCTGCTGATGTTGAAGCCAAACTTGTGGCCAGAAGAAGACTAAAATGCCTCTGTGAGTCTTCCTGACCCCCGAAAGGGGTAGATAACCATGACTGCCACTAGTTGTCCTCCTTTTTAAAAGAAAATAAATAAATAAACTAACAAAAAAAACAAGGACATGAGACTCCCGAATACCAATCCAAGTGAAAGGGAATGCGGCCCATATACGAACCTCCAATTCTGGTAAAAGATTCAAAGGGGCAATCTGGTTTTCCAATTTCATTTTCCTTTTCCCTTCATATGTAGACATAAAACATGTGAAGCTGGCGCTCCCACTACCGTGCTATGACCAAGCAGGGTAAAGGAATAACATTATTACTTGATGTTAGGGAGACTCCTATATATGTCGACCTCCATCCCCAACGGACAGGCAGACCTGCAAAAATGTTCAACCCTTCCTCTTATCTGAGAGGGCACTCCCAACGAAGCCTTTCGAAATATTCAGCTTTCTTTCCCCCCGATAATACCTCTGTAAACAAGCTATACTAGAGCAAGAATATCTCATATCATCAGGGTTAAAAGCAAGAGTATCCCATATCATGCTTTTTTCCTATCTTTTCCTTTGGCCTTGTTCTTACCTGCAAGACAAGGAGAAGAGAGCAATCAGTCAGCACTTGGAATCAAGCTTCCAGCCAGGAACTGACTGCCTGGAACCCCTTACCTGATTACTTACCTGGCATTGCTCTTGAGTACTCATCTTCAACATCTTATGCTTCCAGGGAAGATACCGCATCTGCCTGAGGAACAGATAGGGCAAGTGAGAAGGATACAAGGAAGCATGTGGAGACAAGCGTAACAGCACACGTGCTGATACATCCACTTCTCTGTCAAAAGCAAAAGTATCCCATATCAGCAGGGTCGAACGTACTCTAGATTTGATGGACTTGTTTTGACCCTCAAATTCTTCAGTCGGCCTTATACTCTGGAGGAAACCAGAAAACCCTCCAGCCCAGTTCAAGAATAAGCCTGTGGACAGTTACTTCTTCAAAAGCAAAAGTATCTCATATCATCTCTTCTCATTTTTCTTCTCTTTATCCTTCATGCTGCCTGCAAGATAAGGAGAAGGTGAACAATCAGTCGGAGCTCTGATTGCTTACCTTGTCTGTCACATCTTTCAGCAGATCCCCTAACTCGGCGACTTGGGGGACTCCTACTACATGGTTTGTATCGCGCTTAACCAAGCCTGAAACTACAAGTAAGCTTCAAGTGAAATTTAAATTACCTTGTGCATCTCCACCAGTTACAGATACCACCCCTGGATGGAGGAAGAGTACTTCCAGAGAAGATGCCACATCTACCTATGAAACAGATAAGGCAAGTCAAGACGATACCACATTCCGGTACTTAGAAGTTTCGTGGTTACGAGATCATTCTCCCACAATATTTCCTAATGTCATTTGTACTAAATCATTCACTTGTACTCACTAAAGGAGAGCTTGAACCTATGTACTTGTGTAAACCCTTCACAATTAATGAGAACTCCTCTATTCCGTGGACGTAGCCAATCTGGGTGAACCACGTACATCTTGTGTTTGCTTCCCTATCTCTATCCATTTATATACTTATCCACATTAATGACCGGAGCAATCTAGCGAAGATCACAAACAGTGACCGTTTTCGCTACCTAGGATCTATCTTGCAAGAGAACGGAGAATTAGATGGAGATCTCAACCATAGAATACAAGCTAGATGGATGAAGTGTAAGAGTGCATCCGGCGTGTTGTGTGACCGTCATAGGCCACTGAAGCTCAAGGGAAAATTTTATAGGACGGCAATAAGGCCAGCGATGTTGTATGGCACAGAATGTTGGGCGGTGAAGCATCAACACGTACACAAAATGGGTGTAGCGGAGATGAGGATGCTTCGTGGGATGTATGGGCACACGAGAAAGGATAAGATTGTGAATGAGGATATCCGAGGTAAAGTAGGAGTAGCCAAAATTGAAGGAAATATGAGAGAAAATCGGTTCTGGTGGTTTGGACATGTGCAAAGAAAATGTGACTACGGGACAGAGGTTCAGGGCCGAAGGGGTAGAGGAAGACCTAGGAAAACTTTGGAAGAGACCCTAAGAAAAGACTTGAGTACTTGGATCTAACGGAGGACATGACACAAAACCGAGCGCAATAGCGTTCTAGGATTCATATAGCCGACCCCACTTAGTGGGAAAAGGCTTTGTTGTTGTTGTTGTTGTTGTTGTATACAAAATAACAAAACCAACTTTTCCAAAACCTCATTTCCCTTTCCAAATCATCTGTTCAAAATCCTCACATCCTTATGCTACAGCAAAGCCATGTCAAGTAAATATCCATACCGTCGATCGTATGTCAGCTAACTAGTAACAAGGGATTCATAACAAAAAGTACTGGGAAATAAAGACATAGTAAATCCGAACATGAAAAATTTTACCCACGTCTCAGGCAACCTTACTAGACCTACCATACAAAGGCCTTAGGTATAGGACATTTGCTTCTAGATACGAAGCCTGCATTGAAAAATGCAGAATATGACCCAGTATGATAAACTGTAAGTTGGTACAGAGAAGCCAGATGATCACAAGTACTAGAACGGTCTTATAACTAAATCTAAGAGAAATATTCACAAACAAAAAGCCCTCATACCATACCAAGCTTCAATACGAGGAAACTGACAACATTGTATTATTCATGCATTGACCTGTAAAATATATTCTGAAATCACAACAACAAGACATTAGGATCACGAATAAATCAAATCAATATAAAATAGAGATTGACTAATTACATTAAACTTATCTGTAGAATACGGAACACATGGTTATGAAGATGAAGCCATTGATCCTTGCAACAAAGTAGAAGTAGTCTTCTACTTCTAGTACCTCTCAATGAACTCTACTATAAATAGGCTTGTAGTTTTCATGAGTTTCAGTTGGTATGGAAGCAGGGACTGCTCCTTGGTTATATAGCTAGGGTTTCAACCAATTCCTCCCTATTATCGGAAAGGATATCAACCCAAATCATATTTAATCAATTAGAGTCCCATCATGGCTCTTATTCCTTGTATTTACTTAATAAAGGTCCATAATTGATTGCATGTAATTAGGACTCCAATATGTTTATTTCCTTAAGGCACCAAGAGTCCTAGAGATTTCATTAACTTGATTGCCAAGTCAACTATTCCCTCAATTATTCTCAGCATAATTCATTGTCATTCACAAAATGGTTTTACATGACCGTCTGATAGCACACCTACTGAAGCCTTCTAGACCATCCACATGAGAGAATGCATTAACTGCTGCCACCAATGATATCAGCCTCGAAAAGAATTCCAAATATAATTTAGTGTGTTCATTGAGGGCAGCACAAACATTATAAAGAAAGAAAGCGAACTCACATATATAGGAGAGTCAGCATCAAGGCATTTATCACAGAATGAAGCTGAATCTCAAGAGTCATTGTGGAGTACAGGGTACTAGACGTATTGCTATTTTTCCATAAAAAAGAAAACCAAAACAGGCATATGCAATATGAAGGCCATGAGCATTAGCTATGCTATGGTAACATGGGATAAAAGTAAGTCAAGAAGAGATTTGATTCCTTGTATGGATGCAATTCTGATAATCTTTTCATTCTTTGGCAGATTTGGTCTTTCCGTAAAATGCCAAAACATCTCCTTCCATACTTTAGCGTTTTATGGATTTCCTTTTCTCTCCGAACATCCTTTGGTTTTCTAGACATTTGAATAGAAAAGGATTTCTCCAAATGCTAGTATTTCCAATGGGCCTGGACTTTTTCCCGCAGTTTACTTCTGTCAGAAAAATCCTTGCCATTGTAATGTGTATAGGGAATTTTCTCGAGTCATCTGTACCTTACAGTCGATATGAGTCACTTGAAATCATTATCAAGTTAGGAACTAATTACTAAACCAACAAGACTTGATAAACTGAGAGCACCAATTTCCAGCAACTTGCTCCAATCATCTCTTTCGACGATCCTTGGAAGACTTATTGAATTCGCTAACTAGCGAAGTATATGAAGCATAATCAAGAGCAAGCCCTTTCTCGCTCCGTAGCTTTTCAAAGTTCTCTGGGTTTCCATGCTTGCAATGCCCTTCCAATAGAATGTTGTATGTAATGTCATCTGGAGCCACCCCCAAATTAATCATAGCATGTAAGAGCATATTAGCATTTTTCATCTGTCCTAGCTTGCATAGCCCATTCATAAGAGCGTTATAGGTTACAACACTTGGCACATAGTCATCACTCTGCATCTCCTTGAGCAACTTAAAACCCATTTTAACATTGCCCTTCTTGCAAAACCCATCAATGACCATTGTATACGTGGCATCATCAGGTTTCATGCCAGAATCTAACATCTCCCTCAACATTTTTTCAGCGTCAAGGGTTCTTCCCTCTCTACACAATCCCGAAATAAGGGCTGTGAAAGCCACATTGTCAAGCTTAATCCCTTGTATAATCATTCCCTGCCTTATCTCTAGCGCCGAATGTAAATCTCCTTCTTTGCAGCATCCATCAATAAGTGTAGTATAAGTGATCGTGTCAGGCTTCACCCCAGTCATATTCATCTCCTCAACAAGCTTCCTAGCTTCCCTCAAATCACCATCCTTGCAAAGGCCATTTATGAGTGTATTATACGTAATCACATCTGGTTTGATACCTCTCCCCAACATTTTCTGATAAATTTCCATTGCCAAATCAATCCTCCCATTCTTACACTGCCCGTCAATCAAAGTCGTAAATGTGACAAAATTCGGAACCAACCCCCTCTCACACATTTCATCAAACAAGTAGTTTGCATCATCCAGCCTACACTCCTTACACAACCCATTGATCAAAACACTGTAAGTATATACATCAGGCCATGTTCTGCTCTCCTCCATATCTCTCTTCAACCTAAAACCCTCCTCCAGATTCCCGGATTTGCAATACCCATTAATCAGAGTATTGAAACTAACCACACTCGGGCGCAAACCCCGCTTCCCAATTTCATCAAACACCATCTGAGCCTGTTCAATTTTAGCCTCTTTACACATTTTGTGCATCAAAACATTGAAAGCGTACACTTGTGGTGGAAACCCAGCATCCAAAATCTCCATAAAATACTCCCAGGCCATCACAGGCGAGTTCAACTTCAACATTTTATCAAGCAAACAGCCACAAACATGAAATGGGATTCGAAAATTATTCTTCCTTATCAATCTAAAGCACTGAAACGCATCGGAAACAAACCCAGAATCCAAATACGCATTCATCAAAGAATCAAACACATAATTGGACTGATGGGTACCTCTAGTTTCGAGAATCGAAGCGAACACGGAAGACGCAGAGTCCTTTCCCCTGCGAGAAACGACGAGTCGTAGGAGGGAGAGGGCTTGGGGGTACATTTGGTGAGCGCAAAGGAAGTGGGCCATGGTGCAGTAGGATTGGACGGTGTGGCGAAATGTGGGGTGAGAAGAGAGCCAGTCGAAGAAGGAGAGGAGAGAGAGAGGGGAGAGAGAGTGGGGGTTGAGGTTGATGAGGTTGATAACATCGCGGGCTGTGAGGGAAGGGAGGAGCTTTCTGAGCGAGGAGGAGGAGTCGAGAGACTGAGAGTGGTTTTTGATGGCGTGGGAGATAGCCGAGAGTTTTGGGTCTTCATTTTGAGAAGTTGGCGGGAGCGAGTACCAATTGGTTGCGGCTGCGGTTGCGGTGGTGGTGGCGGAGGAGAAGCGTAAGCAGTAGCAGCAGTTGTAGGTGTGCGGAGAAGAGAGAAGCAGATAGCTTCTTGGGATTTTGAAGAGAGCCATTTAGCTGGAAAACGCTCAAAACCCGTCTCCAATGTAATATGAGGAAATTAAAACTTTGTGGTTAATTTTGAAAATCATCGCAAAATCAGAGGGTGTAAATATAATTAGTCAAAAAATGAAGGCCAGGAATTTGCAAAAAAAATAAAAAACAAAAGGTCTAAGAATTAAGAGCAGCACAAGTAAAAGTTTTACTGTAAAACCCACGGAAGAGCCCCATTGAGGAAGAAGAAGATGTCTCTGCGACAAGCAGCAGCTAACATGATCAAGCGGCGTTTCCGTTTGGCCTCCCAAACTTTCTCTTCAACTTGCGGCGGAGCAGCCACTGTTATTCCACTCGCCAGTAAGCAAATTTTCCATCTTGTGATGTTAATCGCCATAGAAATGGATTCATTTGTAATTAAAGAAAGTGAATTCTTGTTGTTTCTGTTTTTGCAGGGCGTACCAGATTTGATCACGGTTCTAAGGATTGTAGTTGGAGGATGAATTATAGCCACAGGGACCCTCGTCTGTGGCTTTTTGTATCCGGCAATGCAGGTATATGATATCTCTTGCATCCCATTTAATCTGGATTTTAATGGATGAATGATCAAGTAGATATGTTATGATCTTCGAGTTTTTTGTTTTCGATTGATATTCTAATTTATTCTAAACTAAACTATGGGGAGGAAGATTCGAACTCGCTGAGGTGCGCGATTTTCGAGTTGGGATGAGTCTAAATGCGTGGTTATTTTGCAAAATCGATTAGGGAAAATCCTCTATTATCAACCAAGTAAAAAAGAGTGGATTTTTCATGGAAAATGGTTTCTAGTTTTCTTTTCCGGAGGACTTCTTATATCCAAGATTATCACGTCCCATTTTAATGCTTTATCTGGCTTAGCCTGCTCGTAATCTGATCAACGAAATAATTATTTATTTAATCTGTAATCCATTTTTTTTCTAGATTTGGTTTCTGGTAAACGCAATATCTTGTAGATGGCCACAACCAATAGGCATTGAGGTGTTATTGAGTTGGTTTGTTTGTATATTGTTACATATCCTGGGGTACTAGCTGTTTTATATGGATGTGATATTGTCGGATCATGTCTCGAAATTTGATTTCTAAGGGCTTAAAGTAAGGGTCTTTTTTGTTTCAGGATATCTGTGATTATACCCTTAGCTACTTTATAGACACAGTCAGACATATAATATTTGCAAGAAATCTAAGGTCATGTGGTGAAGTATCTCGGTGTATTTCAGGGTTTGTTTAGAAAGGCATACCATGTAACATATGTTATTTATAACTAATCTGATATTTTTGCAGCAATTTTTCTTGCGATACATTCCAACACTGTCTTAGCAAAAGATGAATCAGTTGATCCTGATAATGGCACAGAAGGAGCTAAAGCTATGGGATTGCGCAAAATTGAGGACGGTTCTGTGATATCAAATATACATACTTCTAAGTGGAGAATTTTTACTGATAAAGGGAGGGATTTTTTCCTTCAGGCAAGGATTATATGCTATGTGCCTTCACTTGTTTGCTATGTTTTATTTATTCGATAGTTCTTTGGTCTTACCAATTTTGTTTTATTTTGCTGTTTCCATTTGCTAGGGAAAATTGGAGGAAGCAGAAAAGCTTTTCCTCTCAGCTTTACAAGAAGCGAAAGAAGGCTTTGGGGAAAGGGAACCACATGTTGCATCTGCATGCAACAATCTAGTATGTACACAAGCCTTAGATAATCTATTTTTTCTTAAGTCATCCAAAAGCTTAGTTGTTAATTATAGAGTAATTTAAATTCTGGTTGTCAGTTCTACCATCACAGAAACTGTGGAGTAAGATGGTTGCATCTTTCATGGACGTTTTGCATAGTGTTATGGTTTTCTCTTTGGGACTCTTTAATGAGTAATTGCAGTTTTCTATTGTTATTGTTTCAGGCAGAGCTCTATAGGGTTAATAAGGCATATAATAAAGCAGAGCCCTTGTACTTGGAAGCTATCAGCATACTGGAGGAATCATTTGGTCCTGAAGATATAAGGTATATTATGGTTATTATGCAGACTATAGCAGCAAATGCTGACACATTCATTAACATGTAAAACTCAATTTGAATGGAATATAAAGTTACATTTCTATAGCTTAACAGCATATGATGTTTGTGTTTAATTAATTTTCATTTGTGATTATGTCTTCTTTTATGGGATTTTCGGTGCTCTGAGTGGGAATGAGGGACTTCCATTGCATATTGCTGTTTATGTATAAATGCAGTGAGAAATCAGTGGAATATCTATTCCTCCATTGTTTAGTTGCAAGGATCTATGGTACACCTTTCAATCACTTGGGACAATTAATTTTTGCCTAATGCAGTCTTAGATTTACTTTGTTCACGAGTGGCTGGTTTAGCAAACACCAAAATTGGGAAGTTGGGAGACCATTTCCCTTGTGCCTCTGTTGTATTTGGAAAAACAAGATGCCAGGATTTTCAAAGATAGAAAAGCTTCCTATCAAAAAATGATAACAAAAGCTTAGGTCGGAAGCTTTGTTCTTTATGATTGGGTGGTCTCAATGAATTGTTCTCTTCATTTTTTTAAGGGTCTGTTTTTCTGTTTATTAGATTTTCTGGTTTCTCATGTATATTTTCTGCATATTAGAGATGCCTTTATGCACTATTCAACAAACTTATTGCTCATCATAAAGGAGAAAAAGAGTAACGTATGTGTTTTGTAGGGTGCTATATTGCATATTTTGACGGAATTTGGAACTGACATAAGCATCTTTCATGCTTGAGTGTGTAGAATATAGTTTGTTTTCTCTTTCTTTTTAATTGCTTCTTAATTATGCGAGTTTGTCAACATTAAAAATTTCAGTAAACTTCGAAAAACAGAGGTTTCTTGTTTTATTAGCCAAAATAACTAGTAGCCTATTTAGTATTTAGTTACATTTTTGTTTTTGGTTTTCAACTCTTACCATCTAATTTTAAAATAAGTATAGGGAAAGAAATGAGGGAAGGATATGAGAGGAAGAAAGAGAAATATTACATCCCATATATATTTTCTTCACCCGCTCTCACTTGTATGATTACATCATCCCTTTTCTCACTATGCTTTCATTTTTCCTTTTATGTCCTCAAATGAAAATACAAAACCAAAACAAAAATGAAAATACAATCATGATCTCTGTGTTGAGTCACTAATTGCTCATGCAAGATTCCTGTCCACAGAGTTGGGGTTGCCTTTCACAACCTTGGCCAGTTCTACATTGCACAACGGAAGCTTGAAGAAGCTCGCACTTGCTATGAGGTGAGAAGTTTTATTTTTAGTCCATGTTTTGTTGTTATGACTATAGGTTCAACAACAGTGCCTATGTGGTCTTTGCTATCCTTTTATTTTAAGTTTGTTTTTTATGGTATTTTGAGTCTTTATTTTAAAGTTCATTAAATAAATGTTTCTGTATTAAATCCCCTGCATCTCCTTCCAGTATACCATCAGCACCCTTTTTTAAGCAAGGCATGGATAATGTTTGTATTAATTTGGTGAACTTGTCCCTTAAAATTTGCTGACCCTTGCTGTTTTTTCACCTTGCTCCCTGATTAATGATACATTTGGACAGCGTGCTTTGAAGGTATTACACAAGGCTGCTTTTACTTTTTACGTGCATGTAGTAATGTAACTATTTATGCTGCTAACTCCAACGTTATGATCACCTTGCAGATTAAGGGCTGCGTTTTGGGTCTTAACCATTCAGATTATGCAGATACTATGTATCATCTTGGAACGGTAGTTTTTTATATCCCTGTATGATAATATTGATTTGTACTACATTCTTGGTTCTTTTCTGTGTCTAGAATGGAAAATAAACTCAAATTAAGATGTTCTCTTGTATAAACAGATTAAAGAGAATTGAGAGAAGCAAAGAACAGGTGGAAAGAGACGGAAAATGATAGAAGAAAGAGAGTAGAGAGAGTCAGAGACAGGATAAAATGAGAGCCAAATTAGGGTAAACTTAAAATCTGTATTCTCAATCAATATGTTAGAAGTATGAAACCCCGTTTTTCTAATTTGCGTCATATGTTAAAAGTAAGAACACCGTTATGAATTAGATAGTGAAGCTGCATAAATGTTTCCAATTTGTGAATGGGCATTTTTTTCATTGGAGATGTATTGAAAAATGTTTCCAACATATTCCCTTGCAGTAAATTATTTAATTAGATTTCCGTTTGACTGCAGGTGCTACACCTCCAAGGAAAAGAAAAGGATTCTGAGGCCCTTATTCAGGATTCGATCAGAATACTTGAGGTCAACAGCTTGTACAGTATTTTGTTCACTGTTTGAATTTGACATTTACTATTCTAACACTCATTTGTTATTTGACTATATAGGATGGTGGCCTAGGGGAGTCAATGGTGTGTGTCAAGAGAATGCGATCTCTTGCTCAGGTTGTCTCTTTTTCCAGGTTTCCACTGTGACTCTTGTTTCACAAGACATAATTATATATGATGATTGGGTATGCATACCAAATGACAATTTGAATTGTGAGAGGAAGTCTTAACTCTCTTAGAAAGTTGATGAAGTTTATGTGTAAGGGCTTAACGATTACACCCTGTATGTTACAGAACCCTCCTCTTCAACTAATGCTCAAGATAAACCTCAAATTGCACCCCTCATCATAGCTTGCTGCTTTGGGCCTTGACTCTAAATTTGTTTTATAACCAGTTCATCCATCCACACACTGTATTGGAAATTCTTGGGTATAAGAACCAGACCGTTCTTTATATATTATATTCTAGAACTGTTGGATAGCGTAAAAAAACTTACAGCTGCTCTTATGTACCACTCGGATACATTTTGGTTATTGGACGTCTTCATCTTTCCCTTAAGTCTAATTAATTTCTTGCTTCTCTCTCTAGATATATACAAAATCCAATCGTTCTGCAGAGGCTGAGAACGTACAAAGAAAGATTCTACATATAATGGAATTAACGAAGGTTTGACATTTAACTGTTTTTATCTGTATCTTTTCATACTATATGCTAAAGTTAGTTTAGTTCATAAAGTTTCTTATAGATGTTTGGTGCGTGCTTAAATGAATTACTTTCTCCTGACTTGTTTTCTGTATACCTTCATGTTTGGCTATGTGGATGAGAGATTCTATTTACAAACATTTGTTACTGTCTGGCAATGCAGGGATGGAATTCAATGGAAACAGTTGTAACAGCTGAGGGGCTCGCACTGATCCTACAATCCGCCGGGAGCTTAAAGGATGCTGAAGAGCTTCTTGAAAGGTAAGAGCATTATAATTGAAGATCAGATGACACGATTTTCCATTACTTAAGAGAATTTTGTTTACTACTTTCCTTTCAGATGTCTTGATGCTCGGAAAACCTTACTTCCTGAAGATCATATCCAGGTTTTCTTTTGCACATTCAGCTCATGTAAATATCCCCAATAATGTGACATATATTCTGATTGCTTATGATTTTGGTTAGCATTCACTCCACTTCGTCATATTTCATTATGAATACATGGCAATACTATTTATGCATTCACTGCACTTCGTCTTATTTCATTATGAATGCATGGAAATGCTGTTTTGATTGGTTCTGATTCTTGAGAGCATTCACCTATACTTTGTCTGATTTCATTATAACAAGAAATTTATTGGCAAAAATCAATAATTCTGTACAACATAGACATGTGCAACAATTAACTTTAAATATTTAATTGTGTGAAAAGACAAAAGAGGATATAATATTGAAACTTAAAATAATATTTCTATCTACACCCCTCAAACCCTAATATTTTCTCAACACAAATTCATCTTCCCAATCGTTCATCTGCTTTCCCCACAACCCCTAACATTTCATCAGCTGAAAGCTTACCAACTGATCAACATAATGTACAGTGTTTCGTCCTCTTCATCAACTAACATGTTCGATATTGTGCAATACAAAAAGGCGCTGCCTAAATGAAGAAATAAGAATTACTTAATGCCATGGGAACAAATTAACAGTATTTTGGGTAGGAAGTTGTATGAAATTTGAATTTTCATTTCAAGTGAAAAAGAAAAGTATGGCTGCAATAATTCACTTAAAGGAAAAGTTAGCGTGCACTTTGGATTAGGCCTGATTTTATTTATTTATTTATTTTTTTTTTTTTTTTTTGTCAATGGGCAGATTGGTGCAAATATGCTTCACATTGCTAGAGTGGCAATGCTCAATTCCAACCAACTAAAGAAGATGGACACTTCTAAAGCAATTTCTGAGCTTGACAAGGCCAGAGATAATTTAAATGAGTCCATAAGGTTTGTTTCATTTAGTCATAAATTTTACGCAAAAGAATTTGTAACCATACAAATGAAAGTGATGATGCGTTGATCAATTACGATTTCATCAACCTATTTATTACCTTAAAGGACTAACTTGTTTATTTTGGTTTGTTTTGATTATGTGATTTTCACATCCTCTTCGTTATATTACAGGGTATTTAGTACTATTTGTCCAGTAGTGATTTTTGCAAAAGTTGATATACATAATGGTTGAGTCTTTTTATTTTGTTATGCTTCTTATTTCGAAGATTCGATGACATGTTGGTGTAACTAAAATTGAACTGTTGCTTCAATATATTTTGCTAGATCCTGTCATATTAGGCTCTATTCATAATATGCTTGGGAAGAGGTCAATTTGAATAGGATAGATCCCTTTTTTTCAAAGCACGGGTGTGCGGAGAAATTTTATTAAATTTTGTTTCCCATTGGTTGACATAGTTGATCATTTATGGTACGAATGGCCCCTTTAGAGCTACAATTTTAGGTTTTTAATAGCCCAAGATCTAAGTGGTGAACCAATCAAAGAGTGAAAATAAAAAATCTTACGTAAATTTTGGTTCTACACCCTAAGCAATCAACCATGTCAACAAATGGGATCATAGTGAAAGAAAATATAGAATAAATGAGATTTTCTCAATGTGAAAGAAAGAATAACTCGTATTAGGTATCTCTATGGTTATGGCTTTGCCCAAAGAGAGAGAATGTTTCCTTGTGCGATGTACGGAGACATTGATTTGTACTTATAATTACTTTTTAAGTTGTGTGTTTCACTTTTTGATTCAGTTAAATACGTAGGATAGAAAGCCCCTGGGGTTAGTCCAAGTGGTGAGGGAGGGTGCAGTAATGGGTTAGGATTAGGATTGGTGCAAGGTGTAATTCCCTTTATTGTAACCAAAAACTAAGAATGCATCATAAACTAGTTATTATTTATGAGAAAAATTGCTTTCTTTACAAAAACCAAGAATGTATCATGAATGGTTAGGATTGGGATTAGAATTCATCTGTGTAACTTTTTACAACTTTCTTTTTTCTGTAATAGGATAGCACGGTGTTCGTTGGATAAATCAATCAAGAAGAATAGAAAGATACAAAGTGATATTGGAAGGAGTTGTCGTGTGCCTTTGGTCATAATGGTCAGTTTTCTTCTGTGCAACAAATATTTACCTCTGCTGTATAATTCTCATCCTGTCTCTCTCTTCTCACACATGCGGGTCTTCTTATATGCGAGGATTTGGGACTGCAAATATCTAGTTCTGTACTATAAAATAAAGCCACATGCAGTTCTTGTTTAAAATTGTCCCTTTTTAGCAATATTTTTCTTGCTGGTACTAGCATGCATAATACATGTATATACACATTTTCCACTTTGAGTTTGATGGATGTATGTACTTACAGTTGCAAGCATTTGACGCTCTTAGCCTTGTGGCGATCGCTAAGCAAGAATTACAGGAATCAAAGGTTTAGTAATTTTTTCTGGTTGACCTACTACTATATACTGTCAATTCAAACTGGCTGACCTGTTACTATTTTTGTAAACTGTAGCAGGATGAGTGTTCACCTAACATCGAAGCTGAGGATGCACTATTTAGATGCATCTCTGCTTACAAAGAGGTACCTTTTTGTGTTCATAACTTAATTGCTCTCGCTCATTTTTATGGTTTTCTCCCCCTTCTAGGTGGTTATTTTAAATAAATGGTTGCGAATGCACTTAGGAGTAATTCTTTTTGTATGTTTTTTATTTTATTTAAATATTGGAGAGAAATGAAGCTAATTGATTTTTCGTCAGACTTTACATCTGCTAACTTGTATACTGTATATGCTGTGTTGCTTAAGTTGTCGTAGGGCCCGAAGAAATGTCCATAGTTTACATTACGTGAAAATATTGCTAAAGTATTTGATATTCTTGTTCCGGTTCACTACCTATAGGCAGACATTGTCTCTGAGCTTAGTTCTACTACAGAAATCAGTCCAATTATTTAACTTTTCAGGAGTTACCTTTAAGTGACAGTGTTCATACTTCATTTTATTCTTAGCTAGGTATATTTTATTAAGGGCGATTTTGGGAGGGCCAGAATCACTTTTGGGGAGACACCTCCTATGTGCTTCTCCATAAAATCATTAAAAGTGATTACCACACTCCCAGACAGGCCCTTGGTAAAACAAGAAAATCTAACTCTCAAATAATAGGGTACCTACTTATCAAATATACTTGGGGAAGTCCGTGGTAAACTTTCGCCTTTTGAAAATTGTGCTCAATCTGTTCACATGTTCAATAGACGACCAGTGTGATTATTGTTTCACAATTAACATCTGAGCCTTCTATTTTTGGACGTTCGATGCGCCTTCTTATAGTTGTGTTTGCATGTTGATTTGTTTCTCCTTATCGATTTGTAGTTTGTAACTGAGAAATCGGTTGCTGAGTTTCCTGAAGTGAAGGCAGAGTATCTTAAATGTTTGAAGCATCTTATAAGCTTAAATAGTGGTACCAGTACCCAAAGGTCACAGCAATCTACAAGAGTCAATCTGCAAGATCTGAGAGATGAAATCAAGCATCTTGAACTCGAACTCTCCCCGTCTAGGAAACGTAAAATCTAAGGCTGCTGTCAATGGTCGATTGTTGTTGCAGAAGCAGTTACAGGTAAAAATAAATATTTATTCTTGTCAGTGCTTCTATCTACCAATGAATCTGATTTAGGACATTGCTTTCAAAAAACGCTCATAGCAAACGTTGACGGATCACTTCCACAAACTGACCCGCCAACATTTGTTATGATAATTACATCAACAGATTGTAACTTTTGATTACATTAATTACATCAACGATAATGTTTTCGAAGTTGGAAGCTCAACGTCAGGTGTTATTGTCCAGGCACCCTTGTAATTAGCATCACCAAATCACGGTGGATTCTCAGAAATGGTGGGGTGCGAGAAAAAGCATTGCTTCCCAATTCATGGTGGATTCTCAGTATTGTCGTCAGTTTTCATGGCAATAAGGGCGATTCGAGAGTCGAAAGGTGGTTGAACCGTCTATTTTTTAAGTTGCAGTTCATAGATCATTTTCGCAAAATATTAACCAACTCAAAAATGTTTGAGACATTTAATTAACTTCAAAGAAATTAACGAACACTATGTTCTATGAAGCTTAAAATTGCATTCTAACAATTAAATTGACAAATAGTTTCGGATTGAACGGTTAGGGCCTTTAGACTTGCATTAGTTTCGGATTGTATAAGCTCTGTAGCTTAAGTCTCCTTTAATTTCACTATGTTGAACGTTTAGGCCATTGTTAAACTTTTCAGTGGACCCAAACGCCCATTTCCATTGAATGTTCTTATTCAATTCTGACAATGCTAGCTGCAGCAAGACCAAATTGCACCCAAAGATGCAGGGAGTAGGATTAGCTCCCCCTTTTTTTTTTTAGGAAAACTAATGAAAATGGCTTGAAAACTTTGAGTTTTAATGATAATGACAAAATAAAGGGTAAAGTGAATAGTACCATAATTGATTTTTTATTGTAAAAATGTGGTTTTTCGTTAAAGTGAACAGTATCGGGTGCTTTTCGTTAAAGTTCCCTTTTTTTTTCCCTTCCTTTCCCTCCCCCTCTATTTGAACTGTCACGGTTAAGTTACGTCAACATCTTATATTAATTTTTTATAGCAAGGGAAAGACTAAATAAGAGAATATAAGAGGATGGGATAGAAAGAGAAAGGGAGAGAATCCTAGTCCATGATGCAATCACTCCCATGAGAGGATAATATATGACACTGACGTCTTGTACCGATGAAATAAAAACACGTCTATATTTTTTATTCTCATGTTCATGTTTTATTAGACAAGACATCACGTGGCGATGTATTGTCCCATATAAGTTGCTCTTCCACGAGAAATCTGATACCATTTATTTTAAGGAAAACTAACCAAAATGGCTTCAAAATTTTGAATTTTAACCAAAAATCATATACAAACTTTATTTAATGATAAGGACAAGAAATAAAAAAGAAAAAAAATAACAAACAATCCAACCCTATCGCGTGTAACCACGCGCCAACCAATTCAATTATCAAATCAAGCATCTAATGTGACTATGAGCAGATAGAACTGATAAGAAGATTAACGTGCATTGCAAAATAAGTAGTGGGAGTAGTACAATGAATGATGAGATGGAATGGATGGATGAAATAAATTATTTTTAAAATGATGAGATGGAATGGATGGATGATATAAATTATTTTTAAAACATTTCATTGGGAAGGAAAACGTGAGAGCGAAGCGTCAATAGCTTTTTTTCTTTTAGAGAGGGAGAGAGAGAAATATGTTTACATTCAGAAAGAAAGAAAAGAAAAGTAGTAATTTTCAACAGAAAATCAACAGTGCAAAAGCAGCACCCAAATTACTTTTTAAATATTTCATCGGGAAGGAAAAGGTTCAAAGAGAGAGAGTGTGTGTAAGGAAGAGATTGTGGGGTAAAGCCAACCAAATCCTTTCAAACTGACATCAACAAACTCCAAAAAAATTTAAAAAGAGAGAAATTTGAGATAAAAAAAAATATATTGCTGACACCAATACATGACAGTAATTTGTAAGGAAATAGTTTTAAAAATAGTGATAGTGCTAGTGTTCGATTTTAAGAAATAGTTAGTTTTTTGTCTAAGAAATAGTCAGTGCTTAGTTTACGAAATAGTGACAATACTAGTTTACGAAACAGTGATAATACTAGTGTTTGGTTTGAAAAATAGTCAGTGTTTAGTTTACAAAATTATGATAGTACTATTATTTGGTTTAATATATAGTCTATTGTGTTCGGTTTAAGAAATAGTCAGTGTTTAGTTTACGAAATAGTAATAGTACTAGTGTTCAGTTTAAGAAATAGTCAGTGTTCAGTTTACGAAATAGTCAGTGTTTAGTTCAAAAAGTAATGATAGTATTAGTGTTCCGTTTAAGATATAGTTAGTGTTTAGTTTAAGAAATATTGTTCAGTTTAAGAAGTAATCAATGTTCAGTTTGAAAAATAGTGTTCGGTTTAAGAAGTAGTCAATGTTCAATTTAAGAAATAGTGTTCAGTTTAATAAGTAGTCAATGTTTTGTTTAAGAAATAGTCACAGTATCAATGTTCATAAAACTAAATAATGAAATTTTTCTTTATTTTTGATTTTGTAATATTATTACTTAATTTGTTCTAAAACAATTGAAAGAATAGACAAATACATAAATAATAAAATAAAAATAAAATGTTTATGGAGTGAGGTGAAAGGAGAGAGAAGAGTGGGGAGAGGTGAAAAAAACAAAAGTTGAAGTGGATGGGTGAGGTGAAATGATGGAGACAAGTTCCAAAACCCATTAATTTTCTATGCTATTAGCTTATTTGAACATCCTTATCTTCCCCAACTATTTTAATCAACTCCATAAAGTTATAAGAACTCAGTATTATAAATTCGATCATGCAGAGAAGAAAGCCGAGGGGAAGCTTTAACGACATCGATGAATCGGCAGTAGTAAAGGCAGCTGCATGGGCATGGTTCGAGCACGGTCCGGTTTCCGACGGCGAGTCGATCATGCCGGAATTCGATTTAAGAAGGGCTTGTCACGCTGCTTATAAACCGTCCAGGTACAAGCTAGAAGCTATGGAAAATATAGCCAACATTAGCAGTAAAGAAAGTGTTACTGCATCTAATAAATCACTCCTTGATACATATGAAATTGAAAGTATATCTCGGAAATTGGATCAACTTATAGAATTTAGTGGGGACAGAAGCAAACTTCATAAGGGTTTTCTAGTTGGACACGTTCTTGGTATAAAGAACATGAAAGAGGGCGGGAGAGGTTCGGACTCTGATCTTGAATACAGAGATAAACGCTCTTTACCACTGAAGCTACAAGTCCCCGAAGAAGTTCGTCAACAAGAATGTGTGCCGCTCATGGATGGTAACACGAACGGGAGGAAGAAAAGGAACCAGAACGTTAGAGGAGGATTTTGGCATAGGCATGTGGCGATATGTGGCAGAAGTGAAGATGTTGTAAACACAAAAGCTTTCGTGGTTCGTCATCGGCGGCCGGAAAAGGGATAAACTGTTCAGATATATAAACCTCCAGGGCGAAGAAGAAATTGCGCTCTTTTTAAGTTTTGAGAAAATAAATGAACGTAAGTGTAAAGTTCCATCACCGCTTTAGTTTGTAAGAAGTTTGGGAAAAATATGTGTATGAAGTTTCCATTTAACGTACAAGATTGACATTTAAGGGTGGCAATTTGTGAGGGTGAATAATGTTTGTGACTTTATCTTTGTGTTTGTGTCAAGATAGCTAATCCAAAATTCTAGTGAGACATGTCAAATGACACTAACTAAACATCCTTGAAACATTACTCAATAGATTAATTTCGCGATGGAAATAACATACAAGATTAAACAGAATTGTGTAGGAGGAAAAAGAGACAAGATTAAACAAGGAAAGTGCAGTTACCATTTCCCTTTTCCAAAATACCCTTACTCTAATAGGGCACCAAGCCGCATAGTGTTTTTTTTTTTTGTCAAACGATAGATTTTGTTATATTAGATGTTAAATTAGTCATTTACGGGATTTGAACCCACGCCATTATGTAAGGGCTCAACACCTTTCCGCCAAGTCGCATAGTTGAATACTTGATTTCTCTTCACAGCACTCGGTTGTGTTTTCTTCGGAAGGTGTGTAGAGTTTTTACTTGGGTGTACACACCACCACCTTCTGTACACACCACCACCTTCTGTATACACCACCTTCTGTTTGCCTGCCTTTATTGGCACTGTTGTCGGTGGATTTTCCACCGGCTTCTTTCTTTGACTGGTTGTGAATTTGGCTGCTTGCTACCGGTTCGGGGCATTGGTTTGTGCTGGCGTGGATGCTCTGCGGTGTTGGAGCACTGGTTTTCTTCACGCCTGGGGTTTTGGTTGGTCGACGTGCTGGACGGCTTGCGTTGGTGGCTTTCGACATTGCCGGTATCGGAGGGGCCAAAATTTGTTTTGGGCTCTTTTGTATGTACTGTTCAGGTCCAATGTTTTGTTTTGTACTTGAGTAGTTTGTGGACCTCTTTGTATGTTTGTTTGGCCTTGCGCCCTGGAATATAATGTCCAGTTTTCCAAAAAAAAAAAAATAATAATAATAATAATAATAATACAAGAACAGAATAAAAGATGAGGCTTGCATTTGTCAAGAATTACAAGTAAAATGACATTAAAACCAACCAGCCCTTTGAAAAATACGGTTCATAAATGACACTTATTCAACACAATGGGCAGAATGATGAGGAATTGGAGCAATTAACCACATCTTGGCACTTTTAATAGGGAAAATAGCAACGTAATACAATTTAAAGGACAAAGCTAATTCTAGTTTGTAGCTAAGGACACACAAGGATCTTTTAAACGGACCTGGCAAAACACATTTCCAGCCTCAATGAAAGACGGGACTTGGAACTGCACGGGTGTAGGTGCAGCGGTGTGTGCTCATGGCTTCAACAGAATGGTGGTTTCTGCAATCATAGAAGTGACAACATATGGATCCATGTTCGACGCAGGCCTCCTGTCCTCGAAATAGCCCTTGCCAGCTTGTTCTGTCTCTCTACCAACACGGATAGAAGCACCGCGGTTGGCAACACCCCATTTAAATGTGTTGATATCGGCAGTTTCATGCCTTCCTGTCAAACGGCGTTCATTGCCTTCTCCATAGGCAGCAATGTGCTCCTTGTGCCTGAGTCCCAACTTGTCAATTGCCTTCTTGATAATTTCATAGCCTCCATCTTCTCTCATGGACTTGGTGCTGAAACCATAGCACATTACAATCGTCATCGAATAGGAAAACAATGCTAACCGTGACATAGTTTGATCAACAGACACAAATCCTTAACAACTAATCAGTGGCATTATACCTGTAGTTTGTGTGAGCACCAGCCCCGTTCCAATCACCCTGGATTGGCTTGGGATCAAAAGACAGAACCACTCCAGCAATCTCAGTGATCCTCTGTCAGCATTGAAACAAAACTTCATTGACCAACACCGTAGAGTAATACCAGCAATTTATTATACAACAAGTATGCTAAGTTACCTCCAAAATATAACGAGCAGCCCACAGTTCATCTCCAGCTGATATGCCGACAGAAGGGCCAACTTGAAACTCCCACTGCATTATATGATTATATTCAGAAATACTTTTAACATTTGGGCAGAAGAAGAAAAAGGACATAGAAGAAAGGTCAAGAAAATATATGTTTGATTCTTTTACCTGGCCAGGCATCACTTCACCGTTTATTCCACTAATGTTAATGCCTGCATAGAGACAGGCCTTGTAGTGCGAGTCAACAATGTCTCGTCCGAAGGCCTTGTCTGCTCCAGCAGCACAATAGTATGGGCCCTGTTAAGCAATAAACAACATAATCAGGTTATGTTTGTGTAAACAAAGTAGAACTACCATCACATAAGTATATATGTCCGGATAATCCTTAGAAGTTAGCGATGACAAAGTCAGGCAACATGTAAGCATTACGTAAACTCATATGAGCATAAAATATGACAGAATGAATCTAAATCATCAGAAAATATAGCGCGTTCAATAACCTGAGGGCCTGGATAGCCACCAACAGGCCACCCAAGGGGCCATTTGACATCTTTCTGCAACAAGGTGTACTCCTGTTCAATTCCATACCAGGGTACTTCAGCAACAACATCAGGATGACTGAAAATCTTTGCAGCAGCAGCCCTCTTGTTGGTTGGAATCGGTTCTCCACCAGGTGTGTAGGTATCGCATATCACCTAAGTCGAACATCATTGAGTAACATTGTTACTTTTTAAGGAAAGGCAATAATTAATAGCTCACAGCATGCCATATCTCAACAGAAATGAAAGGGGAAAAAACTAAGATGCGAGATCATCGATAACTCACCAAAATGTTGTTGCCTCTCCTGAATGGATCCTTGAAAATGGCTTGAGGGCTGTTTCATTTCATTAAAAAGAACACATATCAAAACTGATAACCGTGAATAAACAATACAACATAAAACCGTTAAAGAGAAAAATGGTAAGAAAATTATAAAAAGAGCTTACTATAAGATAACTTCACTATCTTCTCCAGGAGCTTGACCTGTGCTGGAACCATCATAATTCCACTTGGGGAGCTTTGATGGATCACTCACTGGTCCTGGCAGAGTCTTCATTCACACAAAAACATATATTATTATTATCATTATTATTTCAACAAATTAATTATTAACAAACCAAGATAACAATTAACCAATCAAGGACTCGTTTGGGACTGCTTTTAAAATAACTGAAAGCGCTTTACAGAAAACGGTTTTGGGTTCCAAAAGTACTTGGAGTACCTGGTGCTCAATTGCGTTTTTACTAAAGACTGGTTACAAATATATTTTCACCTCGCTTTCAGTTATTTTAAAAGTACTTCCCAAACGAGTATCAAGATAACAAGATCAAAGAGAAGGAGAAAATTAATTACCCTTGCTTTGCTTCTGATATCCATTCCAGATCCACCAATCCTGTTCCAGTAGATCAGAGTTATAACATTGGAATTAGATTTTAAAATATCATTAAAAACCATTAAGCAAAGTAATCAAAGTAGATAAATCCCAACTAGTAACATGATTAAGTTGTGATTAACAGAAAAGAAAATACCAATCATCAAGCAAAGATCCATCACCAAAATAGAAGGACAGTGATACAGACAGAAAAGATATACCTGATCTACGAATCTTAAGACAACAAAATAACGGCTCGGCTCGTTAAAACACAACTAATCCCCATTTTTTTGGAATTACCTTAAGGGATTGTAGATGTATATATACACATATATATACATATATATGAACTAACAGTCGGTCAATTTTAGCAAAAGTATAAAACCTTGGAATTTCGGCAACCGAATTAAACAAGACCAAAGCAAACAAGAAAAAAAAACAATTTATCCCAAGTAGAAACAAGAAATTTAAAAGAAAAAAGCTAAGTAAACGAACCCCATCGGATTTCAAAGAATCCATTACTGGAAATGGTCAACAGCACAAAATTAAAGAACACACAAAAAAAGGAAAGACAAATACTTTTATAAACATTTGACCAGCCCCAAGCGGTCGATCATAAGATCAAAACACAAAAGCAAAGCCAACCCATTAACCTAATCACCAAAACAAGAAAACCCATTTGCGTACGTATCAAAATACGCACAGATACGTATACCATCACCATGTTCCAGGTCTGGAAAACCAGAGGATTAGGAAAGTAAGAGGATGAGGGGCTGACCATATGTACTCTGCGATGATCTTCTTAGTAGAGCCTGAGAGATCCAGGTTGATGAGATCTGTGAGCAGCGACATAGTTCCGGAGAAACACAGAGACTTGGAAACGAAGACTTTCTCTCACCCCTCTCTCTCTCTATCCTCTCAGTGAATGACTGTATACAGAGAGACGTAAACGGGAGGGGTGGGTGTGCTTCTTTTATAGTACAGTCTCCCGGTGCTGTGAACGTATAAGAAATCTTAAATTATTAAAAATTAAAACTAAAATTATAAAAAGCGGAAAAATAATAATAATTTTGCTATTTTGCCGTTTCAGAGGAAATTATGATTCTGATAAAGTTGGTGAGTGAGGATAATCAAATCAGAGGGGCCCACGTTGTTCGAGATATATGGACAAATGGTTCACCTGGTAACTCTTCTTTCGGTCTTATTGGAGGGGAAAATGATTTGCCCGATCCTTTTGGAAAACCTAATTTGTTTGTATTTGTAATACAATACCTATTTTTTATTTTATTTTTCCTTGTGAGAATATAAAGGAGAGAAAAATATTTGTTTTGGAAAAAACATATTACAAAAAACCAATTGATTCCTTTCACTCGTAGTGTAATGGATAGTTGTATCATAATAATTGAGAAAAATTTGAAAAAATTTGAGGCTCTCATAACCGAAAAATAAACTCTAACCGTGGACGTAGATGACAAAATTTAAGATTAATAAGAAATTCTAAAATGATAAAATATGTTTTTCTATAATTTGTGAATTTTCTTCTTTGTTTTTTGCTAATTTAAAGTACAATCAAATCTAAATACATAATTCAATGTGTATCTCAAATAATATATAAAAAAATGTGTATGTGTATCTAGAGTTATTAATATATACTAGAAGATGAGCACACACTTTGTGTGTGAACAATTTCATTTTCTTTTTTGTTTTTATTAAGGAGTGTGATTAGTTTTTAAATTTTTTTAAAAAAGTATGAGACAATGATGATGAGATCTCTTAATAAGGGCATATTTTTCTTAATATTACATAATTATCATTTTGCTCTCT